AACTGTAAATAAATGAAACGGGGTGTTTGCACTGGAGTCGATGTTTCAAGCCACGAGTGACAGAAGAACAGACACGTAGTTTATTGAAAAGTAGAGAACAGCAGTGCACGAAAGAAAACTAAACAAAGAAGCGAAGCACATCTCGTGAAACATGGAACCAACATATCTCTAGCTCGCAACCAGGCTTTGCTATTAAGTGGCTAATAAAATGTACAGTTTTGCTAACAGTTTCTCATTTCGCTGAGGACAAAATAAATTTTCAGACATGTAGTAGTTCACATCAGATTCAAATCATGGGCATTGAACAGCATATTTATCCTAATTGATATCAACACTTCCATTTCCATATTCATAATCCTAAGCTAAGTTGTTGTTGCCCTCGCCATCGTCCTCCTCTTGCTCAGTTGTCAGGTTGATTTCTTAGTGAGTGCAGACGAGTAGATTGCTCTCTCGCAGAAATGAGCTGCGCAGCAAGCACATATTGCTATCAACATACCGGTCAATTAGGAAACCAAGAAATTCGTGATTTCAGCAGCTAACACTACAAGTAGTAAGTTCCAGGTTGCACGTTGGAATGTTCGCTCATTTTATGGCGAAGGTCAGTTAGATCATGTCTTCCGTATAGACGTTAAGTACCGAGTATTCGTAATCTTTCTCTGACGTGTTTAATATATCTACATAACTTATGTTTGCAAGAATGCACCAGATTCTGGCACTGATCGATTAAACGTCTTAACGAACGAAAGTTGGTAGGTGAGCTGAAGTTCAAATTGCAATATGAATTTGAATTTTTGTAATAACTTCCATTAAAATGGTAGTTACTGCCGGCAATGACCTTTATAAGTGTAACTCTAGCATTTCCATATCGCAGAACTAGAAACGACCAACATACGGTGTAGTGTTCATGGTGGCGAGTGGTGACGACCACTAAAGCTCGTCATGAACCTCGACGAGATTTGTTAAGAATAAAACAGGAACCTTAAATGGTTTTCCTATTTCTGGCACAGAAATACCGACCATCTGAGGTAGCGATGTCAGTTATCAAAAATGTACTCAGTGAAAACACAAAAACGCAGGCGATTTTCTTTTTGTCCTGTTGCATATAATAATAGAGCTGCTTGTCGGACAGTCATGTTTTATCATCCACAAGAGGCACATTATTTCAAAGGAGACGGCAGCTATACATGGCGCAGCGATGAGAATCAGCCGTCTTGAAGGTACCGAGCTCGAGGATCAGTCGTGAACTAAAAGGAGAGCCAGAAACACATCAAAGTGTAAACACTGTAGACTGTCAAAAAATTACGATGGCAAAATGATCAGCTCAGACTGCGCATATTTCATTTCGGAGCCGAAGTGAGAAAATTTTACGGAGACGAAAGGAGTCATGTGTCGGCGAAATCGACGCTTGAAGCTGATGCACCCTATGCAACACGGACACCGGTCACAAACGGAACAGACGAAATTTGTACTACGAACTTAGTTAAGGTGGTGCTCCAAGCACTTGTCTTTAAGGAACAGAAAACCCGATCTACGCGGCCAGTTGCGATGAGTGTTTGATTTCACCCACTGATGTGGTTCAAGAAAACTATCTCCATAGTTTGAAGCCATATCAATAAGACATGCTCAATTACTTTAAAGCAAGAGTGAGAAAATAAGCAGCGAGGCTGTGTCAAACACCCAAACAGCTTCCCGAAAGAGGTGTCATGCTTTGGTACGTGAAACTAAAGAACGGCAAGCATCATCGTTTGTATGGCAACGTTCTTTTATCAATTAAAAGAGATGCTTAAAATTACGCATATCTTAGAAGGTATCATAGCGAAGCGAAACATCAGAGCTAACGAGACATCACTCGGTTCCAGCGAGAAGTAAAAGTAACAACACAGAACAGCAAGACAAATCATGTTCTGCTGCATCAATTCACTAGGTGAAATAGAATACTGACGATACAATGATTTAAACAGTGTTCAGAAAAACCGTTTAAATTTGCACGTAAAGAGCCAGTCTGAAATACAGCAGTTATATATAACCGATTATTATTGATATACATGTGTGTACACGCAGAGCAGTGAAAATCGTTCTAAACTAAAAATAGACAAACAACCGTACATGAAATATGAAAATTCCAGAAAATGATGCAAAACAAAACCTGAACAACCCTGATTAGACGCGCTCAGAACTGCAGGATGACGAAATGTGCGAAACGTAGGCAGCACTTCCTACAGCTGCATCGAGTGTGCCTTCGATAGCCGTAATCTGACACCGATCGCCATAAAACTTTTCGACGAATTTGCGAAAATAGTCTTTAGCCGCTTCGCCTGTTAATTTCATCTGACGAATGTCATAGACTTCGATGAATCCAGCGGGCAGCATTGAGTGCAGGTTCGAGATGATACTCGAAATCACTTCTTGAAATAAACGGCTTAAGCTGAAGTTTCCACTAGTGATGTTTGTCACAGAGGCACGCAATGACGGGTCATATCTTTCTCCAAAGAGCCATGGGTTCACGGAACAACTATCTTCCGAGACTTCCTGATGGTTCGTTGACACAACATCTGTCATTAGCACTTGCCATACTTTCTCTGCAGGAGGGCTACTTCCTGAAAAACAGAAATATAGTATAAAATCAGAGTATATCTGATTTGTGCTTGACATTCTTACCAGTGATCATGAAAATAGCATCGCATAAGCTGTCGACGATTGCTGAAAGTACGTTACCACCGTTTAACGAGGCTGCCACTAAAAGGTAGGTGCCGTCAAAGAATGGGAAATA